CTCCCGCCGCCGCTTGCCCCTCGGAGCCGCCGCCTGAGTCGGGGACAAGAGGATGACCGAAGTGCTGTGGCCGACTGTCCCCAACGGGACGGACGCTGCCTTCCTGGCCGGCCCGGGCTCGCCCTGGGGGAACAGCACGGTCGCCTCCGCCACCGCCCCGTTCAAGTGCGCCCTGAATAAGACCGGCTTCCAGTTCTACTACCTGCCGGCCGTGTATATCGTGGTGTTCATCGTCGGCTTCCTGGGCAACGGCGTGGCCATCTGGATGTTCGTCTTCCACATGAAGCCCTGGAGCGGCATCTCCGTGTACATGTTCAACTTGGCGCTGGCCGACTTCTTGTACGTGCTGACTCTGCCCGCCCTCATCTTCTACTACTTCAATAAGACGGACTGGATCTTCGGGGACGCCATGTGCAAGCTGCAGAGGTTCATCTTCCACGTGAACCTCTATGGCAGCATCTTGTTCCTGACCTGCATCAGCGCGCACCGCTACAGCGGCGTGGTGTACCCGCTGAAGTCCCTGGGGAGGCTCAAGAAGAAGAACGCGGTCTACATCAGCGTGCTGGTGTGGCTCATCGTGGTGGTGGCCATCTCCCCCATCCTCTTCTACTCAGGCACCGGGGTCCGGAAAAACAATACCGTCACCTGCTATGACACCACCTCGGACGAGTACCTGCGAAGTTACTTCATCTATAGCATGTGCACCACCGTGGCCATGTTCTGTGTCCCCTTGGTGCTGATTCTAGGCTGTTACGGATTAATTGTGAGAGCTTTGATTTACAAAGACTTGGACAACTCTCCTCTGAGGAGGAAATCCATTTACTTGGTGATTATCGTGCTGACTGTTTTTGCTGTGTCTTACATCCCTTTCCATGTGATGAAAACCATGAACTTGAGGGCCCGGCTGGATTTTCAGACCCCAACCATGTGTGTTTTCAATGACAGGGTTTATGCCACTTATCAGGTGACGAGAGGTCTAGCAAGTCTCAACAGTTGTGTGGACCCCATTCTCTATTTCTTGGCGGGAGATACTTTCAGAAGGAGACTCTCCCGAGCGACCAGGAAAGCTTCCAGAAGAAGCGAGGCAAATCTGCAGTCCAAGAGTGAAGACATGACCCTCAATATTTTATCTGAGTTCAAGCAGAATGGTGATACTAGCTTGTGAAGGCACAGGAATCACCAGACATCTCACTTTTGTGTCATGGTAGGATGCTTAACAGAACTAATTGATTTTTGCCCCCTCTTTAAGTTACTAGTAAGGTTAGAGAAAAGTCAAACCAAGAAAGTAGTGAGTTAGGAAGGGAAAAAAAAAGAAGAAAAGAAATGCCCACATCCACACCTAGCTTGTTTGAGTTTGCTTCCAAAGTCTCTTCTGACTAGCACTATGCGTAATAAAAGAATACTACCTAGTTAAACATTTACTTTCTCTTCTGCTTTTAACATTTACAAGTTTTTTTTTGTCTTTAATGTGTGTGTGCAGATGAGTACTAGGGCTATTTTGATAGAAGTAATTTCTTCAGGAAAACTAATTGCCTGAAACTTGAGCTTGTGATTTATCTAAGCTTTATTGTTTTTAGTAATCTATGATAAGAACAAATTGAAAATCTACATTCTCACAAATACTGAGCATAGTAAAACAAAATGCTAAGCTCAGCCCTGCAGTTATCAGATGAACAGATCTCTGAGTTGGGTGTCTTTTTCAGTATCTTATAAGCATAGATAGCTGACTGAATTTCTTAGGGAATTGAATAGAAAAGTAAAGACAATGGGTTTAAAAGCCTGAAAAACGATTGTTTTCCAGTTATTTCTGGAAAACTGCTCACTATATATTGAGTACTAAGTGTTTGGCAGGGGGGGGCCTGCATATATTATCGTACTGGTAAAATATATTGAAAATAATTAAAAGTACAAGTATTCTCCTTGTAAACACCATGAACTCTCTCTTAACTTTCTGTGATAAAAAGAGTTTACTTGCACCACTGCTGTGCAATGCCCTAGGACTTTGTTTGTGTTCCAGAACAAATGCTCACTCACATCTGTAAAAACAGTTAAAACATCACAAATAAATGACAGACCAGAGTTTGAATAAAGTTGAGTAACTGTTAGTGAATCAAAAGAAGTTGGCTAGAGAATATTATTTTAAAAAGGGAGTGGTCGACTGTCATTCACAATGCATAGCCTGCAAGTATACTTTCAAATGTGCGAGGCCCCTGGGGACAGGCAGAAGATATTTTAGAATGAGGACTTTAGTTTAAATTTGAATCATGATGTAAAAGGCTCTTGGTGCGTCTTCTAAGTATTTGAAAACATTCAACACAATATGAAAAGAAGTAAGCAGAATTTGTATAGGTTACACTGATAGAATGGGAAGCTATAATCTTTTAATGAATCTTATATGTTAATATTTAAAGAAAAGAGTCACATACATAGAGAGAGAACAATGGAGAATTAAACTTATACATAAGGTACCACAGCACTGAAAAGTCAAGTACAAATCAATTTATTAATAGTTAGAGAGATTACCGGTCAGTTTTCTTTTATATTTGCTCTCTGCCAGTTGTTAATGAAACATTTGTAAAATGCTTCAACAACTTGAATCATAATTTTCAGTGAATATTGAGTTGCTACATTTCTAGCCCTTCAGGTGGTCAAATTCTATATGATGAGAATAATGAGGTGAGGTAATGTAACTAATAACCCCAAACAAATACATCCAGTGTCAATGGGATACTTAATTTTGAAAGCCAACCCCCATAAAGTCATTATCAGAGTTTGCAACTGATGGTGGAATCATTTGCTTAAAAGCACCTTATAAGTAAAGCAATATGGAGCTGTATGTTAAGACAAGGAAAAAATTCTGTGCCCTGTTGAACTAATGACGGGAAATACGGGGTTTGATTTCAGTTCTTGCAGTGCTGGGTAGATTGAAGATTTGTGAGACCTTCAGAGTTGCTTCAGTTTACCCAATCTCTGGCCACTGAGACCAATGAAAGAGCTGTGTTTAGCCTTCCTAAACAGTGGTTCTTCTTACGTGTTCAATCTTAATGTACAGGATTATAGAAACCAAATCAAAAAGAAACTTAGCATACCTCCTCATTTTGAGGAAAGAGAGGGTTGGCAAAGTTCTCACTTGGTCAGACTCATATGACATTATCTGTTCTAGAATCCTAAAAGGCAATCTAAAATATGTCATTACTGTATTGACTCTGTCAGACATAGGTTCAGTGAGACAAGGTCAATATCATTAAACTGACAAAGATGGAAATTACAAAGCTTGTATTGTACTTGAAATTGCAGACTAATGGTATATATTTCTGTAATATTTCTTCACCATTTACTGTAGTTTTCTTTCTTTTAGGTCTTGAGATGCCCAGCCTGGTTTAGAATATGTGTTAAGTACATTGTTTCAGCTTCCAGAGAACTTTCTCTGGAAGTTTGGATCCAGTAAGGAGGTGGATAATGCATAGAAATGCACTTTTACAACTTGGCATGCTCTTTCTAGAGTGTTTCTTCTTTAGCTTTGTACATCACATATGGACACTGGTGACATGTGAATGCATGCCAAATAGTAACAAGAATGATCTTGCCAACTCCTTCCAGGCCAAAAGAAGTCTCTGGAAAAATCTGTGCAAATGATGAGAACATACTGAGAGTCAGGCTGAAGCAGTGATCTGTTGGCTCAAAAGCTGATTCGTGTCATATGATGACATTAATAAGAGTAAAGCAGAAAGCTGTTGGCATTTGGATAAAAGAGCAGCTAAATTATAGGACCTACGAATTGACTAAATTTCACACTACGAAAATATTATCATGCCAAGTACAAGGTGTTGAATTGCTTACAAATTGGCATCTTTGACTCTTTGTACATCAATCTGTGTTTACATTGAAATGATAAAAGACAAACTAAGAAGAAAGAGAGCATGCAAATCAAGATTCAGAGCAAAAACTGTGACATTGCCACTCAGCCAGCTGTGTGACTCCTGACCCTTTGAAGGCCACTCGTCGTGGATTCAAAAGATTGGATGACATCTATTTGTCATTGAGGAAATATGGTAAAGTATGAAAAGTAGACAGTCAGGAGTGCATGAAGTCTGCTACCATAATTCTTTAATACAGTCCTTGGCTGAAAAATTCTTGAGTCACCACTTGTGACGTGAACCTTTGAGCTAGCTGTAAGTCTGTAAGTCGTCTTAGTTTACTCAGACAGGAAACTAAACTGTCATTGGATAGTATAGATGTCAATACTTATAGCAGCTGGAATTTGACTAATGACAATACTTAAAAGATGTGATACTAGTTAGGCTCTATTGAAGCTTTAACTTTGCTGGTCAATTTGTAACTATTGTAATAGTATTTATTGATGAAGCTCTCGGTTCTTCAGTTGTACAGGTTGAAAATTTTTCTTGAAAGATCCAACATACTGATGTAATTATATTTATTACAATGTATAATATTAATATGTCAAACTGGTATAATTTACATAATATATGATGCATAGGCAAAATGAGAGTTGTGTATTATATGCTTTTCAAATATCAGTATCTTGACATATTTAAGTCTTCAGTTTTTTTGGCCTAAAATATGAAAATGTTTCATGATACAAGTGATTAATTTTCCCTAGAAATGTTTTTGCATGTTTACCTTTGTATTTGGGGTTTTTCCCTATATGGACACAATTTGGTGTCAGACTATCATAAGATCAGTAGTGAATATAAAAATCTTGGCCGGATGGGATGTGTATTGTCTACATTTCATGTATATATTATAGCAAAGTTTATTTTGTCTTTCGAGGAGGCTTAGAGTTTTGCCCCCAAATATGGTTAAAGCTTTCATTTCCAAATGCAAAAGTCTTATCTTACATTCAAAGTTGATCTCATGTTTTAGAAGTCTAGTGGGATGGGCATTATAGATACAACATTAGAATTTAAGGAAAATCTTTAGGTAAATGGGGAAAAAAAGCAGCTGGTGCAAGCTGCTTTATTCGACTCAAATGTTTGCATTGTGTTTCTTCTTAAAGTGAAATAGTATAATCTTAATTTCTTCGAGGTGGAATTTTAAAGTAGCACACTACCAGCAAGTTCAACACTGCTATTGATTTTAATGTTTTCTTTGTTCTGTTGACAACTTTAATTCCAAGTTTCATAGTGATGACTGTATATTATTTGGCTGCTGAATTCTGTTACAGTTTTTTATTCTGTTGTACGTTGTATTATACACATCATCACAAGTTAATATGAAGGTAAATGTATGTTACATATCAAAATTTGTGAATTTGAATTACAGTATGTTTTAGTGCTTTGCCAAAAAATGTTTATTTTTATATTATCTGTGATTTTAATAGAGATAATTGAACTAGATTTCTTTTTGATTGATAGTGCCATTGAATGAACGGTATGGAAACAGTGTTACTTGACATTTTGAGCTTTCTCAGGTTTATCTGAATCAGTGATAGCTTAACAAAATCCAGACTAATTGTGCTTAATTGTGTTTTTAATGAAAAAGGAAAGTACATTTCCTGCAATAGCGTCGTATTGTTTGCATGCAGAAGTATGCAAAATCTGGTGTGTGTGTGTGTGTGTGTGTGTGTGTGTGTGTGTGTGTGTGTGTGTAATGCATGGTAGTCAACTTTGTATCTGCTCTTTATAGTACCAGCAGAGCTTCATAATTGTGGTCAGTAAGAATTGTACTTATCATAGACAATTAAAACTGAAAATGACTCAATAAAACTATGAAACCTGGATTGATGGCTTCTATGTTATTACAATATTAATACTAAAAAAATTCCCCAAATTTTAACACATAATATTATACAAACTGGCAAGTACCACTGAACACATTGAACAAACTTAAGTATTTCTTAAGTTGTCAACTGGGCTGTAAAAATTATAGTGTTAAAAGATGAATTCTGGTGCAAGATAATTGACAAGATTATCATTATTAAATATTTAATTGCCAATAGGAATGTGAAGTAATCCTTTAAAGCAAAATTTGAATGCTACCTTAATGTACTTCTCATACTATTGTTCTGTGTTTAAAACGTTGGCTGTCATCTTTACGGATTTAATTTTTAATCTTTGGAGGTAATCATACTAATAGTTCTTTGTGATTTCTATTTAATAACCTACGGTACCTGCTTCACCCAGGTTTGTTTTTTAAAAAAAGTATCTAATGCTGCAGTGAAAACTGTGCAATGAAATGAAAGCATGCTTGGAGCATTACTTTTTTCCCCCCTCAATGGAGATGGTAAGTCCACAATGGTCCTATGTTGGATTTTCTGGTAGTCTACTGAGATAGATGCTCTGTAAGGAATTCTGTGGGTAGTAAATGTAAATTTCTTTCATCTCTTAAGATACATGTGTGTCCATGTTAACTCCTTAATTAGATATACTATGAAGACTTCCCCATTTGGGACTCTTCACTTAATAACAGTGTGTGAGGAGAGGGTATATTTATTTAGTACGTGCACAGAAATTTTACAGATAATTATCTTTCGGATTTAGGAAGAATTTACCCTAAAGTTCTGAGCATCTTTTGATTTTCTAAATCACGTAGGATTACAGACAGGGACCCTTTTCTCTCTGCAAGTTAATGTTGTACATTTTAATTTTCTCTCTTA